TGTAGCTGAGTTGCAGCGCCTTCTAGTGAAAAATTGGGATGAAATCACTGTTGATTACATCAATAACCTCATCGACAGCATGCCACGTCGCCTTGTGGAGGTTATTAGAGTACGAGGAGGACCAACCAAGTACTGAACGTTTAATATGAATTGATATAAAGTTACAGACGCTATTTATAATAATTTTGTTATATTTTGTCATTATATATGTTTTAGTAAGGTTCTGTTGTGACAGGTGAAATGCTGAATTATACACCTTTCTACAGGTGTCTGATAAAACTGTTAGCTGTTCGAATGAATCGTTCATGATGTTCATTGAACCTATCTCATTATACAAATTACATATGGATATGATTAACATAACATGCATTTCTCTGTTTCACAGCACTAAGTGTATTTGTATTCCATCTTAAAAATAATTATCTTATTAGTTACAAAATATGCAAACATTTTGGCAAAGACTATATAATGATATATTGTATTATAAATTGCAAGTAACTATAATTTCGAACTTAATTTACGAAGACTGTGTATACTAGATTGAACTACTAGTGCTTACAGCTCTTATATGACCACCGGAAGTGGGGAAGTGAAACGATTGCATGAGTTGAATGCAGCATTCAATTTATCCTCCATTGTTTGCATGAAGAGAACATATTACGTTTCTTATTATTTTTTAATCCTTAAACTACTGACTTGTTTTCATTCAATTTCTTATCAGTGGTTAATTTATTGTCTTTATATATATATGTAGGATCAAAAGCAGGAAAATAAAACGATAACGTCACTTTAATATTGTATTTACCCAACTTCCATTAGGTTCCTTTTAAGCTTCTCCTCCTTAATAAAGAAAGTACTATTATATGATACAAATCTAACAAAATGTTTTAATAAATATAAAAGACCCTTTATTTCCCCCTAAGGAATTAGTATATGTCTCCAAGTTCACTTCGAAAGAAAAGATCTTGAAAGTAATAATGTTCATTCATAGTAACTAGATGTACCTCCACAGGGCCATCAAAAGTGTTTTGTTTCAAACGTAAATAAAACCAAAAGTAAGTGTAACAAATATTTTTATTTCTTGCTTTTCAGTTCATATGTCATGTTGTGTTGTAGCCTACAGAGTGCATAGTTATTCTTGTGATTCATTGCATGAGCACATTTTACTGCCATGATATTAAGCGTCCGTCCGTTATGAGACGTCATTTTAGTGTATAGTGACTGACTGACAGACAACACACTACTGTATAGTGGTGCGACTGGTTAAAACAGGTAACCTCCCAGACGGCCTGCTGTCCCTTTTTTGGGGAAACTATAATACTAGAAATAGCTTAGCAAAGCTAAACACATCAGGTTCCCGTAAAATCAGCGGTAAGTTTATGGTCTTACTACTCTAAAATCAGAAGTTTGATTCCACGCGGTAAATAGTCTTACATAACCCATTTTGTAACTTTGAGCTCAAAGAAAACATTTCCTAAACAGATCGAATACAGTAGCTGTGAGGAAAGTAATATTAAACATTTCAGGTGCAATATGGAGTTGTATAAATGTTAACCTTTACAATATATATATATATCCTACTCAGTATTATGTGCTGTATATGTTAGTACTACTTTTCTCTAATATCTAACGTGTATCTTTCAAAACAGCATGATATTAAGGCTATTTTGTTGAATACACTTTAGCATGACAAAGTTGATTCTGCTCCAGTCTTCTTTGAAAGCACCATTATGAAGACCTTATGTGGTTTTGTTTAATATATATTTCGATTAAACTCTAGTTGTCAAAGAACAAGAGAGAAGTTTTAGAAACCTAACATGAAGCTATGAATAAAAACCAATACGAGTCCTTTTTGTTTCCTGAGACATTTTGTTTTTGTTTGAAGTCAAGCACAAAGCTACACAAAGGGCTATCTGTGCTCTGGCCACCACGGGTATCGAAACCCGGTTTCTAGCGTTGTAAGTCCGCAGACATACCGCTGTGCCACTGGGGGGACGAGACAATTAAAATGTTATATGAAAGTAATGAGCGAAACCTTTATCAGTGTTAATCAAAAAAACAATTTATTATTCAGTTAACAAAGATGTAACTCCACCTTCTGTGTGGTACTTGTAGCTCATCGAAAAGTGGTATAGTTTATCAAGAAGTGGTGCTTCTAGCTTATCAAGATATGTTACTTGTAGCTTATCAAAAATGGTACTTGTAGCTTACTAAGAAGTGGTACTTGTAGTTTATGGAGTTATTGTTGTTACTGAAAGTTTATAATTCAATAATTATTCGGACAATAACAAAACTGATTTATTGACATTTTACTGATAATAAAAACCAAAAGTGATAAATATGAAAAAATATGGTGTTCACACAGAGTTAAGTGACATATAATTATTCTTTCTGGGTCTACATATAATCAAAGGAAAATAAAATCGCACCATATCCACTCTATGCTGTTTACAGTTTAAGAATAACCGTATTATTATTAATAAAGTATTCACAGTATATCCTAGATAACACATAAGGTGTTTATAGTATAACCATAACTTTCTTAGCATTGATAAGGTGTTTACATTCTATTCATTACTTTCTTAGTATTGATAAGGTATTTACAGTATTAATAAAATGTTTAAAGTATAGCCATATCATCCTTGGCATTTTAAGGTGTTTACAATATAACCATAATTTTCTCAGCATAAACAAGGATTAAACTTTGTTAGCGTAGATAAGAAGTTTGTGAGTTAGCTATAACTTTAGTAACGTTGACGATGTGTTTTCAGCATAGACGTAGTAATGTTAAACATTGGTAATATAACTGTAATTTTTGTCAATGTTGGTTACGTGTTATTCACAAAGTTGGGTGCATTACTTTAAAAATGTTTTGAAGATGTAGATCTGTAAGTCACATAACAACCACAACCGATATAATGTTGCGATGGAACGGAACGTATCAGTACTACATTTTGGTGTTATTTTGTGATTCTTAAATAGTGTAGTGACACGGAAAATTAATCGCTTTTGGGAAGGTTATATAAGTGCCCTTTCCAACACAAAATATTCCAACAAATAAATGATGTGAGTAAGTATCGAGGACTTAAAATATACAAGACGGAGATATTCTTTGAAAAACAAAAAAATGAGACCTGCAACAGTTTGTACCCAAGCCGTGGTAAGCAAAATGTGGCATCTTGTAGCAGGTGAGAATTCACGAACAAGAAGTTCAGTGGTAAAAGCCGTCCACGTGGCCTATAGAACAGTATGGAACATAATCAAGGTTATCTGTCTGGAAAAGTGATTCTATTCGGGTGTACACAAATTACTTTGACGACATTCACATACTTCAAACAGTTGGGAAACGAAATAGGCATTCACACTATTCTATATGAAGACAAATCAGTCAAGTATTTCTAACTGATCGGACTGTTGAAGCGAGAAAGTGTTGTTTTCTAGACTAGATGGATTATAGAAAGCATAAGAGAGGAGTGGTGTGTGTCAGATATGACAACCTTATGACGGAACTTTTTGTGATGGCGACTACGCTGCAGAGCTATTATGAAGACTCACAACCGTCAGATAGAGCATAATCTAATGTGGTGACATGAACTGTAATGACGCGGTAAATCTCCAAAATCGTTTTAACACAACGTACTCAACTTCGATGTATCATATTTGTTTATTTTTACTTGTACTAGGTTTGTGTTAGATATTCGAAAGTCTAATTTGTCATAAAGTTAATCTTAGCAAACTAGTTGCCTTTTTTTAACTTTGTAAACATCAAATTTGAAACATGTGCTCATCATTGGGTCTATCTTAGTTAATAAGGTTATTTTTAAGAGTTCGTAGATTTGATCACTTTTTACGCACGATGTTTTACAAATTTTGTTAGAAGAAGCTTTTTAATTAATTTCAAAGCAAGTCTACCAAAACATTCTTATTCTTTATATATATACATTAATTATTCTTGAATAGTCAAATGTCATTTTAAGTAATAAAATCAAATTTTGTCAGACAAGCAATGAAAATTTAAAAAGATCCTGCAGGCTTAAATTAACGGAGAGATAACGTTTCGTTCGATTCAGTAGGATTATCAAATAGTTGTGTCAGACTGAAAATCAGTAGTGATAATAGTAACATACAAGGAAAATTGAGATAATTATCATGAGTAATTCTGATCTAATCGAAGATACATCGAGCACTTATAAAAATTTTAAATACATCCCTGCAAGAAACATTACTTTTCTCTTGGTGTTTAGTCGGGTATGAAAAATCATTTAACTTATTGCATGATTAACTTAATTTTCATGAAACTCTCCCGAAGAATGACAACGATCAAAACAGTCAACAAATACATCGAGAACAATTTGTTTAATTAGCTACATCTTGAACTGTAGATACAAACGGTGAGAAATTAAATTTGTGTGAAAACACTATGCTGGATAGGAATAATTCATTATATCTTCTAGGATATTATATTTATAGCAATATCCACTCCCAAGATTTGATAAAATAGTGAATACGATTAAATATCTTCTTGATTTGAAAAAAATTAAATAATCTTTTACCAAATATGTAGAAATAAAATAAGAAGAATTTACCGTTCCCGCCTAATCACACACTTACACACTTATAAGTTACTAAAACATTTTCATTTATAAACAAGTCTATATTACTATCAACACTACAAGTCCTTACAAACACTATCATAATACTCAGTGTATCAAAAAAATCTTTAAATAAACTGAAACCAGAGCCATTGACAACAATTGCAATTATTAGTTGAAATAGTTATTGTTGTAAAATTAGTGTAAAACTATTTATTTGGACCTTCAGATTCATGAAAGCAAAATTTCAACTGCACATAACTCGCTAAGCGACACTATCTACTAGTTTCGTGTGTTAAAGTTGAAAGATTTATAAGAAAAAAACTTATGTTAACCTTAATTTATATATATATATATATATTTTAATGTATCAAACAATTTTTATTCTACATTTTTTCGAAAACAATGCACACTTTAAAAAGTATTTATTTAGAAAATATCACTTTATTTTTTATTTTTACTGAAAACAATCTAACTTCATTAGATTACAAAGAGAATAATATTGGTTATAAATAAAGGAGAAAGGCTAAAGAAGTTAACTCTAATTGACTTGATTGGTCCAGGGACAGTAAGATCCAGCTGTGCCTTGATAAATTTACAAATACCTTTGTAATATATAAGATTTTAAACAAGTGCGTAAATAAAGCATTCCTCTCACACTTAAAATATCCCAAAATATCCGTGACAAACTTTTTAAACCTTACATGAAGGCAAAACATCTCCCGTTTATCAATTTCAAATAATCATATTATTCTCATCCTGGGATTCTTTCCTCGTCTCTTCTTCACTAGGAAGATTAAATTTCTCCATCAGGTCTTCAACCTGTACATTATTTTGAAAATCACGTTCATTATTGTATTCGTTAGCTTTATCTGTCAGTATTGTGTTAAAATTATTATCAAAGGTTTTATTCTCTTGAATATTTTCGTTAACAGCATAAGACGAAACAGTTACAGTAGCGTTTTGATCGGAATCATTATTAGTCCTTTCTTCATGCCATTGTTTGTCCATAGTAGAGATAATTCCGTTTGACAGATTTCGCTCATTTTCGTCATCGGCATTTTCATCTTTGATCTTCCATTGTACTTGCCAGTTGGGAACGTAATTAACATCTTGATTGCTCGTCTGTTGTCCAACTAAGTTCTGTTCGTAATTAGTTTCTTCGTGTAGCTTGCTTTGGTCATCCACTTTCTGCTCATTGTTACGATATGTTTCAATAGGCGATTCCCACAGATAAATACTGGAACGTTGATTACCTAAAAGAGCAGCGTTTAGTAATAGTGTTTCATAGATTTTAATGTACAAAATCTAATTACCAAGGAAAAGAAATGTGCAATATGATAGGACAGTAAACATAATGATTGTTATGACAAATACATTTTAAAATACTTACTATGAGTGGTTTATTTTAAAGAATTTCAAAACAAGTATGTTCTCTATATACATATTTTCATTATTTGAATTCTTTGCTATATATTTTATATTTATCAAACAAGTTTATGAGAGCGATCATTAGTTTTCCTATGTTTTATTCAGTAGAAATACCACGGAAGAGAGAAGTCGCCTTATCAAGATTTTGTTTGTTTATAGCAAAGCTGACCTTGAACTACCGGGTCGAAACCCCCACCGCTAACTCTTTATCAACAAATAGTAGGATTGAACGATATATTATAGCGCACAATGAGAATGAATAGAATAGAAACATCAACATGATTATCCAAGATCCATTAAATAAAAATGTCCTTTATTACGTCTCTCACAAACATAAGCTATTCGAAACCATTTGGTGAAATGCAAATAGTATATACTTTTCTGTTTTAGTAAAAATAAGGTTTCGTGAATGTTATTTTATTTATTAAAGGAAATTTAGTCATGTTTAAAAGAAATCTCGTTATGAGAATGTCCATCTATTTATGCGCCTCATAAAATAAATAGAATTCTGTGAAATGGTAAAGAGAAAAGACAGTTTTTGTTCAATATGAGGAACTCACTGGAACATTAACACGGACACTTAGACTTATCACTCCCGCCATCTAGTGGGAAACGCGGAACCTAACAGCTGATTATTTTATTAATGGTTTGGTTGGCTCGCACATCACAAACATTTCTATGCAATAAAGATAGTAAATATACCTTTACCTTCCTCATTTTCTCTGTTGTCTACAGACTCGTCTAATCCAACCTGAAAGGAGAGAAAAAAACAAATTAAGTAATAATCATCATATTAATTTCATCTTCATCCCTAATGCTGAAAATAATAAAGGAACTAATAATATAAATCAGTGGAGCAACGTATAAATATATCCTGATAAGAATAATGTTTCAGTTTTATACTTAGTGAAATAGTTGGGAGGGTAACTTATGATGGTATATCAAAGGCTATTGTTAAGAAAAGCAATTACATTTCTTCCAAAACTTAGTGCAATAGTTTAGCATTGATGCTAATCTTTTGAATGCAGTCTGCTTGGGAAACAGAAGTGGTAAAATGATTAAACTAGATATGAGAATAAGCCGTAGTTGTAATAGAGCAGTTAATATCCATATTAGAATACAGCAGCAGTAATGAAACAGGTAAATTATAATACAGCAACAGTAATTTGATATTACAATGTCAAAGTGAGGTGAAGGTACATCATTGGTGGTAGTGAGGTGCTGGAAGAGGTGTGATAGTACAGCAATGTTGGATAAATGAGATGTAATAGTATAACAATGTTGGACAAATGAGATGTAATAGTATAACAATGTTGGATAAATGAGATGTAATAGTATAGCAATGTTAGATAAATGAGATGTGATATTACAGCAGTGTTGGATAAATGAGATGTAATAGTATAACAATGTTGGACAAATGAGATGTAATAGTATAACAATGTTGGATAAATGAGATGTGATATTACAGCAGTGTTGGATGAATGAGATGTAATAGTAACTATGCAATACTAACTATAGTATTCGATATGATATTACAACAGTAGTGTTGGTGATGTCGTATAACAACGTGTAATAAGCACAGCAGTGTTGGATAAATGAGATGTGACAGTACAGCAGTGTGAAATGGTTGAAAGAGTTTTGAGAGCACAGCTATAGCAGTGAGGTGGATGAACTTGATAAGTACTACAAGATTTATGGCGTGGTTGTTGAATGAAATTTTTTACCACAAGATCTATAGTTAGTGAAGTACTCTAGACGCGCGCGCTGATTGGGTGCCTCAGGGAAGGAGAGGAGATACAAACGTCCACGAAGTGGCACCAGAGTATGGTGACGTCATAGTTCCACGGAGTGGCCCCGAAGAGCGCGTTGGTCGAGATGAGAGGATGATGAGTGCTTAGAGAGTTGCTAGTGAATCACCAGAGGGCGATATAAATCAACAGATAACAACATGTTTCAACATATCACCAACTTCATAGTTTTTGCTTCACAATCAAAGCCTTAAATTGAATAATGCATTTAATTTACACAGTGTAATTTTTTATAGTAATACAATTTCATGTTGCGTAGTTCTGAAAAGGATGGGATGAAGTGGATAATGTTATTAAAGTATTATAGGCGGACAGTGTTAATAAGGATGGTGCTTCTATTGGCGTAAGGTGTTACTAATGGCAGTTTTTCTATAGGCTAACAATGTTTCTATTAACTATTGTACATGTTTAGTATAACTTCAGTAGCTTAATCTTGCTGTTGAAAAGACGGATGACATCACTAGTTTGATAGTGTTTCTGTAGTTGGGTAGTGTTACTAAGGTACAATAGGTGGACAATGCTATTATAGTTCCGTAGTAGGTCATCATGTGACCGTCTCAACCTATGTTTATAGTTCATATTTATAAAGTTAACTATATTACGTACGTTTTACAATTATAATATTGCTAATTCATTCAATAGTTTATCTACATACTTCCTTAAAAGTTACTTTGTAAGTAAAATCCATTATTTGAACGAGGCAGTTATAATGACACTGTTACATATGTCATGTTATTATCACGCATTGGCAAAAGCGAATAAGTATATTGTTCAATCTGTGTTTAATCAATAGTATTTTACCTTATTTGCAATAATCTGTCATGAAAAGGACGGATTTTTCATGTTAACATAATTGTTTAAATCTCTAAATGTTTATCAAATCCAATTATTTAACATACAAACTTACTGGTTCACTTTATAACTCATGCTTCACTAGTTAATAATGTTTAACTTTATGGATTAAACATATTCTTATGTTAACCATCTATGTATGTAGCTCTGTCTTATTGGAATTTTAATGTCTGGTGCCGCCCAGTGGCACAGTGGCACAGTGACTTACAATGCTAGAATCCTGGTTTCGATACCAGTGGTTGGCAGAGCACAGATAGCCCATTGTGTAGCTTTGTGCTTAATTACAAACAAACAATTGATGTCTGGTTAATAAACTCTGTAGTGAATCATTTTTCTACAACTAAGTATAATAAATGAATGACTTGCTGTTTAACCAATCACTTCACTATTATAGAAATTAGTTAAAATAGCAACACTTACCATTTTCTTTAGAACATTCACTTGAAGTACAAAACATGCTACACAACTAAAATTCATAAAACTTTGTGATTTTAGAATACAGACTATTTGATATATAAACCAACTTTCTTCACGAATTAATTAAAACGCATGTTATTTGGCAGTTCACAGAGCGTGCTCCTTATCATAGAATGAGACTACTAGTGTATTGTTAACTCGTTAGTAGTGATGCAAAATGGTCATAGGTAAAACTAAGAAAAACGCTTTTAGCCAAGGTAGCTTAATTCAGTCATGTGCATTTAGATTTGCTTAAGGTGAAGACAGGAGAGACCTATATCTTTCCAACAACGTTAGTCAGTCAGTCAGATTAATGAATTTGTGACTTTGTGAAATTTTTGCTTTTACTCTAACGACTTTTTCAGGTGCTTTTGCAGCCTGTTACTCTGCAGATTTTTTTATTTGCTCAACAGTGTGTGTGTGTGTAAAATGCCTATGAAATGTTTTTTGCATTGTGTTTGAAATTTTAACTTGTATTACACATATTACACATCTGACCTATTCCTACTATAAGTACTACTGTACGTAAAATAATATTGAACAAGTGTTGGTAAAGTTGTTAAAAATAGTGTGAAACTTTAGTGTTCGTAGTGAAATGCTTTAACATCATATTTTAGAAAAAGCAATGTCATGTTAAGAGATTTAGATTAGCTCTAAGTTTACACCAAACAATAGCATGTTTAGGAGATTTAATTTAGCTTTAAGTTTACACCAAACAATAGCATGTTTAGGAGATTTAATTTAGCTCTAAGTTTACAAAAACCAATAGCATTGTTTTTGTTTTTCAAAAGCAATTATAATCTGTCAATTTAGCTAATAATTTGGGAAATTTGTTTACATTATTATAACATTTTAACCATTGTCATTTAAACAAATTTTCAATAATAATAAGTTATAAACACTATGATTACTCAAGAAAAAACATTTCAATTTATTTTAGACAATGCAGTTTTAATTAATTTTAAATGGTGCACATTGAACAACTGACATTGGTGATTATTAAGTATATTAAACAGGAATTAACGACTAAGATGTTCTGGTTGTTTATCCACAAAAGCTTACGGTTGTTATATCATTCACATCTAAGATACTAGTATATGCATATATATATATATATATATGCTCGTATAACCGGAACAGAACAACAGGATAGAAAACAAAACCGTGTAACTGTTCCTACTATCTATGTATTAGATGGATCTGTAACTCGTTTAATTACTTTAATTACATTTTGAAGTTGAGAAGAATTTGAATCGTTGAAAGTTGCTTAAAATAGGTTTCTTAGGTAAATAAAGTGTTAAAAGCCTAGTGGAGTTTGTATGCAAATTATAATAGCCATGTGTGCGTGTGTGTCCATCTCAGCTAGAAGCAGCAGCTTTAACCCTGTTGTGTAAACTTATGTTCATTTCATATCCTCATATAAATTTGTGGGTATATCGCTTTATCGTAAATGAACGTGTGATGATTTTTGTTAGTTTTTTAAATGATTGAATGTCTATTACGTTTAATATACACAAGAGCATGTTACATACCTTTCGAGTTTCAGAGGAATTCCAGAAACTACCAAAGTCTTGAGAATCTTTTAATTGACCATTTTCGGATCCATTCTCATCCGAATTTTTGAATATTTCAAAAATATTATGTAATCGCCAGTATTGTCCTTCTGTGCCCAAGTTGTCTGATGTTTCACTTGCTTCCCTACTTTCACCATTTTGTAACTCAAATGTCGGTCTAAGGTCAGTATTGCTCGAAGAAATTAGAGTGTCTTGAAAGACCTCATTACTGGAAGTTTTCTTAGAATTTCTGTTCTTTTCTTCTTCAGACAGTAAGGATTTCTGTAAAAAGTCTAACCACGATGGCGTTTTAGGTTTTATATCAATCTTCTTCTCTAGAGAGGAATTTTGCATTTGTTCGAGACTTTTACTTTGGTCGTTGTCAGAGGAAGCTTCCCATATATTTTTCACACCGTCTTCATTTCCATAAAGAGGAACTTGGTATTGTACTTTATCACGTTGTGCCAATGATTCCATTGGGGACTCATTATTGTAACTATTAATATTATAAAGAGGAACTTCGTCTTGTACTTTATCACGTTGTGCCAATGATTCCATTGGGGACTCATTATTGTAACTATTAATATTATAAAGAGGAACTTCGTCTTGTACTTTATCACGTTGTGCCAATGATTCCATTGGGGACTCATTATTGTAACTATTAATATTATAAAGAGGAACTTCGTCTTGTACTTTATCACGTTGTGCCAATGATTCCATTGGGGACTCATTATTGTAACTATTAATATTATCTAAATTGTTTCTGACTTTTTCCAATAAATTTGATATTCTCTTCAGAAGAGCTAATTCCCACTCCCTATTCGCTTGAATTTGTTTATTGTATTCATTTTCTCTATCTTCGCCATATTGTAATGATGACTTCTGATCTGTTTCCTTGTATACGTCAGAGTTTGATTGATAATTTATTGCGTCGTCTGGTAGCGAGCTTTTAGATCGCGGTTGAAACGGTAATTTAGCATCCTGAAGGCTATCGGCTTGATTCCACTTGAAATCTGTTTTTGATGAATCTTTTGTTTCAAAGTAGACGGGTTTGTGCCAAATATACCTTTCACCGTTGTCTTGTCCGTAATCGGCGTTGTCATTTGGATGCTGAGCATTTTCATTCCCAACAAGTGGTCCGTAAGATGTGTCCAAAGCTTTATTCTTTTCACTAGGTATGATTCTGTTATAAGTGTTAGAAATCGGTCTTGTTTCACTGTTTCTACGTGATTCAATGTTATTATTTCTTTCTTGAAACCAATTGTATGATTCAGCAAACTTAGGTTTACTGAATTGCCAATATATCGGATCATCAGATTTTTGTTCAGTGAAACGATAACTGTCAGAGTTGAAAAAGTTGTTAGGCGTTTGTTGGGAATCTTCCTTAAATCCTTGTGTTTGGGGTATTAAGCCTTGTTGAGTTAATGAATTAACAGTTTCAGATTGTGGAAATTTTCGTGAGTCTAATCTATTTCCAGAAAATTCTTTTGAAGATAGAGGTACTTGAACTTTAGTTTTGTAGGGCGATACATTACGATTTTTCCAAAATTCAATTCGCTGGATATTTTCCATATTCTCATTACGAGGATCGTTTGAAGCTGTCATTTGTAAAGGCCATTTATATTTGTAGAAGGATGAACTGGGTTTTTTCTTGATCTGTTTGTAAATTCTCTGTTCTTCATTAGAGGAGTCTTGTTTCAAAAAATCCTGGTATTGGTCATCATGGTTTTCGAGGAGTTTACTGGAGCCAAATGACAACAGCTATGAAAATTAAAAAAAACAAAAAACATAGACATTTTTGTTTAAAGATATCAAGGCACCTTAAAGAAAAATAAAAAAAATATTGAAAAAAGTGATTAATATCTTATCAAGTATGGATCTATATTGGTAAGAAAAATACCAGATACCAAAAATTTTAGATTACATGTTAACCTAAGAAGTCTATTTTAAATGTTTCAAACAATAAACTATTCAAAATCATAAATAATATTCAACGTTAAACTGGTACACAATTAAAAACATTTTATTTAGGCCTATGTATGACCTTCAAAAAGTTGACGACCAGTTGTGTACCAGATTAACGTTGAATATTATTTATAATTTTTAACTTTATACACAAGTGCCAAAATACTATAAATGAACTATTCCTCAGGTCAAAATACAGTGACAGTATATTGTTCATACCATTCGTAAAACCAAATGCAGATGAATATATATATATAACCAAAACATACTTAATGCATAACTTTCATAAAAGAAAAATTAAGGAATTTTGTTGATTCATTTAAGGTGATATTAACAAAACAAAACAAAATATATTATTTTAAGTAATTCAGAAATCGGGTACTTTTATGTATTTCTTAAGTTCCCTAAATCAAAGGAGATTAATTAATTATTGTTGGAAACAAGATACCAATATTATAAAATCTCCCAATAGTTCAGGAAAACCGATTGTAGGAGGTAATAAAAAATTACTGAACATTTAAGTGACCTTTTGGACATATTGCTAAAACCGTTTTTATTTCATATTGCGAGTATTATTAGGGATCATTCTAAAGTCGATGAAAAATTGCCAAAGAAATTGGAAGAAAATGAGAGTTTTTATTTCTTTAGATGTAGTTGCTCTGTGTCCAAGTATTCAACATGACTATGGACCTAAGGCTGTCAAAAGTTTTCTAGATAAATACAAATATTTAACTCATCGCGGGGACTGTACCGCATAGTTTTTGTATCTTCGCCATAAGAACGAAATATCTTTTCTTTCAAATCATATATCTTTTTTAATTTTATAATCCACGTCCTTTTATTCATAGTGTGTAACGTATAAAGTCAGTTAGCAACAATATATTGTACTGAAGTGCTGGATTATGTACATATTTTGTATGAATGTATAATTTTTAGCACCTTCTGTGTGTATCAATTCCATTTAATAACTTTAAAAATTCATGGTCATTCGCTCAAATGTATGTACTTTAATATGTTTTTCTGTCTATTCATGGAAATAAGGGCGTGATATTTTAAATTGAAAGCCAGTTATTGTAAATACATGTTAAAGATATCTTTTCTATGTTTTGATGTGAAACGGACTCCAAACCCCATAGATAGAAAACCAATTAAATCTTGAAACTTTTTTTTAAACAGACTTTTTAGTTTACATATGATGTACAATTTCGTTTTACCTGGTGTTTTTTGGCTAATCTAGTTCCATATTTGAAAATAAAGTATTAACCATTTTTTTCCATATTTTTGTATTTTAAACGTAGATTTATATTTCTTCTACATTTATGAACCCCATGCTAATCCATCTTACAATCTTACTGAACACCGTATCATGTATTTATAAAGCTGCAAATATATATATATATATATATATTTATTCTGACTGAAAAATTTGAGCTAAAGATGAGCTTAAAAGTTCACAGCTTTCCCTACAATTTTACTATGTTTAAAAACGTATGTTTTTTCTATGTTCATTGGTCACTATCAAGTTCAGTAAGTTCTTAGCTGATAATTATACAATTATCAAAATATTTTGTGCATTGATGATGTATTTATTGTTCATAAATGAATAAACATTGATTTATTTATATGATGCAAGCACTAGTTTAACTTAAAATTCCCAAGAACAAAAAATAAGTTTGTTTTAAAGTCAGATATTTTTTACGCAATACAAACTGTAATTGACTATACTGTACAATATTATCTTACTAAATTTGCTCATAGCAAACAATTATTATAGTATTTGTGATTATTATATCTATATACTACTAAAACTCTGAGATTGTTTGTTTGCTTGTCTGTAATTAAATACAATAGCACCGTATTTGTAATGAAATGAGAATACAAACAAAATAAAACAAGTTTCGTTAAAGTCGGGCGACGAGTTACCGAGTTAGCCCCGTTTTTCGGGTCACTTTTATGAAAATGTCTAGATGAATTTAGGTGCACTAGATGGCGCCACATATCGGTTTATCTATCTGTCTATTCATGGCTGGAGGCGGCTTAAATGGGTAATGAAGAAAAACTTTAATATAAGTTTAACATGACAGCAAATG